AAAGATGCCCTTAGTAGGGCGGCAACTCAAACTAAATAGTTACAGCTCTTTAAAAATAAAAACTAATGGGCCCAAGGCCCAACAACATCTTAATTTAAAAGAAAATAAACAAACACGAGTCGGCCCACTCAACAGAAACAAAGGTTGCATTGGCTCTCCTTTCTACATTTTTATTTTCACAGAATTCCTTGATCCTCCAAGAAATGCCAAAACTACTTTATAAAATTAAAATTAGACCCATCAGGCCCCAAAGCTTTATCTCCATTAATCCTCTTCAAGGCCTCCTTAAATTCACCTACTTCAACCTCCCTCCCCAACCACCCAGCCACTCTCTCTCTTTTATTTTTTGTTTCAACATCTCCCAAAGAGATTCAGCATCATTGCCTCCCTGAATAGAACTTCTTGTAAAAGCCCACCACTATCCTTTGAATATCTTACCAATTCTTAGCCACTTCCTCCCCTACCTGTACCCTTGTAATCGAGTTCCTTCTTCTTCTCCCACTTGCAAATGCATGGAAGAAGGCTGTACTTTTGTCTCCCTCTTTTACCCATAATGTCCTCCATTTCTGTCTCCATCTCATTTCTTCTCTCAATAGTAACCTCTCTAATTCTCTTTCCAGCCCTTCCTTCTCCATTTCGGCTTCTCTCGGAAAGACTTCTTCCTCTAATCTCTCCAATCTGGAAAGCTTCTCCAATACCTCCTTCTTTCTGCCTTCCTCATCCCCAAACTCTTCCTGCCTCCTTCCTTTCAGCTCCTCTTTGAGCAGTTGTAGTTTCCTCACCACCCTAAAACCAGCTGAATCCACCACCTGTAGAACTCTCCATTTCTCCTCTACCCACTCCACAAAGTTTGGTTGAAGAAGCCAGACATTCTCAAGTCTGAAAGGCTTCGGACCTGAAATCTCTACAAATTTTCTTAATACAATTGGTTTATGATCTGACATATACATCAGTAAAGGTTCCTGCACCAGTTCTCCCACATGATCAATCCAATCCCTAGAAAGCATAAATCTGTCCAGCCATCTAAGGATAGCTGGACATTGGCCATTCGACCAAGTGAATCTCCCACCATTCCAGGGGAAGATCAAACAGCTCTTGGTCATTGATAAAATCCTCAAATCTCCTCATCCCCGCACTAACTCTCCTCTCCCTCCCCCCTTTCATCTCACTTCTCTTTCTGACAATATTGGAATCCCCTCCCAAGCACCACGGCCCTCCCAGCTCTGCCTTACCCTTAGATCCTCCCAAAACTCTGCTCTCTCCCCTTCCTCATCTGGCCCATACACATTTGTCACACCCCAAGACCAATCCCCATTAACCTCTTGCAAGCAGACTGACACCAAATGAATCCCAGCCCACTCCCCTACTTTCCAAAAAACCCTTGGATTCCACAGGATGACCAAACCCCCTGCCAGCCCAACCGCATTCAACTCCACCCACTCTCCACCATCCCTCCCCCAAATCTCATTCATTATTCTTATATCAAAGGACTCCAGCTTCATTTCCTGCAGAGAGGACTACATCAGGCTTCTGATTTCTTATTAAATTGTTCACCAGAGACCTCTTATTCCCTTCCCTCAATCCCCTAACATTCCAACTTAACAGCTTCATTCCCCCCCACCTCTTAACTTCACGACACCTTGATGTATCCCCCTTCACTCTACGATTACAACGTGGTCCTCCTCCCCCTCTTCTTCATTCCAGATTTTTTTCTTTCTTGCTTTCTTCTATCTTTTTAACTTTCCATCCTTTTTTACTTTTTTCAAATTGTTTGAAAGCAACTTTAGCAAAACCCTCTCTTCCCCAAAAGAACAGACCAAGGGACTTCCCTACTACAACCTCTCTGTCGACTATCTTGTTTAAGTCTAGTTCCCCCTTTTTTAATTATATCTCACCACTTCCCTTCCCAGTCTCCCAACTCTCCCCCTCTGTTTCCCCTTGACTACTTACCTTTCTAGCCCTAGCTACTGAATTCCACCCCCCTCTTGTTGGCAGTTCCTTC